CCATCGACTACATAATTTTCCTTTCTTGTCCGCTMTTGAAGTAGATCAACAAGGACCAATCMGGTGCYGTGTAATAYGTGCGCGCGTTGTGATTGGTTGTCTAAAAATAGATTATCGGGACATCTGATGGTGGCGATATTATTGGGGAGATGGACACTTTTGGTTATGTACTTCTAGTACTGATTAATATTAACTGATATCAACAGGAAATCATTGACCAATCAAAAAGGTACAGTCACATCGGTATAATTTATTCTTTTATATAGTTATAAAACTTGCAGTATTCTATTTAATTTCTCAGCTTTTGTTTTGTGTTTTTGAACTACCCATAGAGAAACATTGCAGACACCATAAMCGTACACGACATTAAAACAGTTTTTTTGTTGAATAGGGCTGTACTTTTTATGTTTAACATGTCTTATAAGGTGTCAATATTTATCTTGTAAAAGTCAAATATAAAGTCAAGTATAAAGTCAAGTATAAAGTCAAGCATAAAGTCAAGTATAAAGTCAAAATGAAAAAAAAGGAAACGATGAAATACTTTGGCATTTCTGATTTATAGGTAGTAGATATAAACAAATTAACCTCTGCTACGTATCGAGAGGTCATTAGTATTTAGAAGAAAAGGGTTTCGCCTTCCTGGCCTCTTCAGTTCTTAATGTTGCTTTCTGTATTTGCATAAATATGTTCTCCCGTGGGAGTTGAACGTTCACTGTAGATGTTTAAATGTCAATTAACTTGGTAATATTATTACGACTTGTCAATTCTCGCTTGTGGCAAACACGCAGTATTCCATTCTTCTTTCGCGTTCATACTCTTTCTATCGGGGTCTTTCGGATCTACATCGCTTCTTTTATCTGTCGCATCATTGARTCTCGGTGAAAAGTTTTCACGACTTTCATTGTGAACTGTTGGATACTTCCTTGATGTTCYTTTTCACAATGACTCCATAGAGGCGAGCTCTGTGCTTTGTCGTGTAGTAATWTCATGTGTTCTTTCCATCTCGTGTAGGCGTTGTGGGCTGATTCTCCACAGTACTTGCTGCCACAGTCGTTGCACTCGACCTCGTATACAATATTGTTCTTCGAGCAATCGCCTTTCCCTCCTGACGTGCAGACAAAACGGTCTTCTCGTCGACAGTACTTCTCTCTCATGGGGTCGGATCTCTGTAGGACGGACTTGATTGAAACTCCATTCCTTTCGACAACCTTTATCCTAACCGTCGATTTACTGATCTCTTGTTGTAATGTCTTCTTTAATTCTCCGTTGGGCGTGGCTGGAATGAACAACACCGAATCATAGTTTCCTTTGTTATACCATTCTTGTGCTTTCAAGCTCTTATTTTCTTCCCTTTCTTTCTTTTTCCAGTCTCTTGGTCGATAAAGTGTCCTCTCTCCATTCTTAGTCTTCTCTACTATAGTCTCGTAGACAGGGCTGATTTGACGACTTGGTGCCGTCTGAAGGACTTATCGTATCCTGAATATTGCATCTTTGTGTCATGTTTGATGCGTGTTCGGCTATTCTCTGCCATGGTAACTTGTGCTACAATTCACAGGAGCACTCTTAGCATTTCTTGGGTCATGACAGTCCGTTTAACTGACCATGGGAGTGCAAAGTTGGCGTGTATGACGGACTTCGATGAGACCTCCTTGSCATAGAATTCGTGCATAATCTGACACCTTCGGTTGTTCTCATCCTCTTCTAACCACACTTTAAGATCTAAGATCGGCATCTTGYCGTCTGTATGGTTAGAGGGGATGTCTATCTTTAGGCTGGATCGATGGATGGATGTCATTGGCAATCTGTTGCAATGTTTCCATYGTATGTTTGTCTTTCGGTTCTCTATGGTTGTCGTCGGGACCTTGTATTCTTATAACGTTTCCGTCGCTGTATGTGCATGGTGTCTCCGTTTAGGGACTTTACAACGATGTTAATATCATCTACGTATCTTTTGTACATAAACGTTTCTATGTGTAGATGTCCAAGTCTCTTGAGAAAGGTCTTGTCCCACCATTTCATGAACACTTGAGCTAGCACGCCAGTTAATTCCATTCCAATTGGTCCTCCTTTTCCWTGCWTGTAGATCTTGTTGTCAAACGTGTACATGTGGTTCTTCATAACGAATAGAAGGGCCACCCTRATGGCTTCTGTAAGTAGTGTTAGCCACTCTGATGGTGAGGGTGTTCTGATTGCTAGGTTACAGGTTGCAAATCGTTTTTCTGGTTTATCCTCGCGTCCACTTCCGGTTATCCTCAGGGGTCTCCCACGGGAATGTTTTAGTGAGTCTTAAACGGCATTAGCCTCCTCCGCAGGCATCACTAAGAATCACGGGCTTCCTGTCTTTTTGAGGAGTCAAAAGAGGGAGAATGGGGGCGAGAAAAGGGTTTTTGCTATCTCGTCACTAGTCCCTAACGGCCAAAATGACCGTTACAAAGGAAGCCCAAAGGAGGAAAAAAGAGTTGCCTGTGGAGGAGGCTAAAACGGCATATCTGTTCAGGTGTCAAATTCAATGCTAAGTACAATCCTACTTCGTTGTAGTCTACGCCTCCAATCTTTATCCCACTTTCTCTGAATTCCTCGCATACTTTTTCTATGGTAAGAAAGATGATGATAGATCTGGCTAAGTTATGAAATACTTTAATTACCAATTTGTCTTRAATAGGGTGYGGAATTTCAYAATTTTGCTTTCTGAAACTTTGAAATCCTTTCAATTAAACTATCTTATTTATTCCAACCCTCAAGTCTTGATAGGTCTATATTTKACCAATTTGTCTAGAATAGGGCGTGAAATTTCACGATTTTTGCTGTATTGAATAGAATAAGAAACAAACCTTTATTACAGTAAGGAATTTTACCCTTCTAAATGTATTTGTATAAAAAATAATAATAATAATTACATGATGACAAAAATACACATTTTTTGTACACACTCGACTCCAGACAAATAAGTAATAATTCTTAWGTCCAAGTGATTCATACTAATTCTATAGACTAAAAACCGTTTTCATGTTATATTTTGTACAAATATTTACAAACATTTTAAAATGTCTTCTCTTGAATCCTGTGTTGTTCGCCCGCGTAGTTACAACTATTGTTTTATAGGAAGAAAAGAASGAATGCGCACGCTTTTACGCTAATACTGTTATCGGCGCGCACTCTTTGGAAAGCGTGAGTTTTTTCCCTTCTCTTAAAAGTAACAGTTGGGTGGCCTATCATAGCCACACTAAATAATGTTCCCTAGTCCAGTCCCAGACCATTGTTGAAGCCATTTTAATTGTACAAGTAAAAAGAGTCTGAGCCTGGACTTAATGTTGCCTGATAAGCTTTAATACGTATGAGTTAATTCTCGTAAGTAGTGCTGTGGTCAGCATTCACTTGGAGTTGTCCACTACTGTTAGAACAAAGATTGTGATTTGATGAAATAACAAAGAGAGACAGACAAAAAACGAAGATGTCCAGTAGAACATTGTTTGATATAATCCTACAATTCTTTGTTGTTGTTGTCTTGATCAATCACAAGCTTCGTTCTGACCGTAGTGGTCGACCCTTTGTCACAAACAGTTCAAAAGTTTGCTGTGGCAGACTTGACCCTCCTGAAGTTCTGTGTCTGAAACATGAAACAATTGTAACAATCAATTATCCTGAATATTGCTGAGGCTGATAATCGCATGTAGAATTATGAAGGAMARCGTGYAGTTGTGTCAAACTTGTATAGGTCATCTTGTAGGATAGCCTTTGCATCAAAGCGAGACAGTGGTTGCGCATGCAATGATAGGTCCCTTTGAATAACAGCCCTTTTCACAGTTAGAACCAAGGCGAGGAAAATCGGACAGCATGTTTGCTGCAGCGCTCAAATGAACAAGAGTGCCAAGTTATATCAACATCATTACTTATTTGCCAACAAAGATTATTTGCGTAAAATAAAAACTGCAAAACGATAAGTAGAGCAAAGTCGAAGGAATTCGCTATCGCTATGTTGTAAAACCACAGACCCCTCGCGAAACTTATTTAACTAAATTTATTGCAAAATGCTTATTACCCTGGGATGCATGACGGCATGAACGTCTGACATTTTAATAAGTTTTCCATGTCTTGGTGGACATTTGAAGAATTGTTTACCTCCGATCGTACCGCTATTATCACCAGCTAAAACACAATAWCAAATTACCAAATTAGTTCGAGTTCGAAGCCAAAACACATTACTGGTTCRGTCACGGCAGCCATGTTGGTGGTACAGACTCACATGGCCGCCGATCGTGTTTCTATTGATTCTCAAGGCAGCAACGGCGACGCCACGGATTTGGGGAACTACTTCAGCGAACATAAAAAAGAGCAAGAACAACATGTACAAGTGTTGTGCAAGATGCGCGGACTTTGAAACCATGTCGAGTCCACATTATTAGCGGGCTAGCTGTGGCTAGCCAGCTATAGTTCTACCTTTTCTATCTATGTATCTGTCGTGTCGCAGTTTGCAGTCTCTCTCAAACCACAGGAAGCCATATCTATTAGTTTGCAGTCTCTCTCGAACTGAAAATGTTCTCAAGAATCCAAAATGGCGGATACTCTTCGCCGATAAAACTATCAAAAACWATCAATAAGAAATACCAAAWGYTTTCTCATTGAAGAATTGRACTAGGATTTTGTATTTGTGAAGTTTCAAGCTTGCTARTTATCATTTTAAGACGATTTTGCATCGAAAATAGTCTCGCCTTCCTCACCGTCCAGCTCGATGAAAATATTCAGTACAGTTTCAACATGAAATCAGCTCAAATACTGGCTTTTTAAAACATTAGACAGCAAAAGGTATTTTTCTGTTTAAATGACAATGTTTTCATTGTTCAAATTCAAATAAATTGCTTTAATATCATCGGGGTCTTTTATTAGTTAAAAATGACAAAGTACAAGTTTTGAAACTGAACTTTGTTTTGCTTCAATTTTTAGATTTCTTTTGTACGAAAGAAAGGCTAATAAAAACACAAATTTAAAGAATGCACCCATGCCATCTAAAATGCATTGCTAAACTAGCCCGCATCACGCTTTACGCATCACGCGTCTTGTTAGCCTTGAAATATGACAGACATTCATGGTAAACAAAAATGAAATTTACTGCCACACCGTATTAGAATATGAATGAGTTTCCAGTAATTTGATCCCTCGCCAAACGCAATGCATGCATGGATTGCCAAGGGGCAAACAAAGCGTGATCTACAAGAGTTTGTATGGCGGAAATTCGTATTTTCATGTTTATCGCTCGATTTTTCAGTGGATATGGAAGTTTTTTACGCCGTTTTTACGGGATATTATTAGGAGGAAGTTGTACAATCTGGATACGTAAGTTTT